CTCAGGATCCTCCATAAATCCAAGTATGAAGATGGGCAATTTATAACTGATGGCCTCACTCATAAGACGTAGGAACAGAAATTAGGCCGTTCGGCCCATCGGATCTCCTCCTCCATTCAATCATGGCTGATAAGTTTCTCAACCCCCCTCCTAGTTAAAGCAGTCACTCAGCAACGTGGTCAGCTCAAAAACAAACATGAACATTCGGCTGGATGTTGACTGTGTGGAACGGTGTGAAAAAAATGTGATTGTGACTTGACAAGTGGTTTTCTATCTCTGTAGACGGCCTTGATGGAATTAAACTTCAACAGTTATGTAAAATAGGCTGCCAGTGCATTTACCCCCTGTTTTATACAAATGTAGAAATTCAAGCTGTATCCCAGTGAGCATAAAATATATAAATTAAACCATTCCAGGTGATAACTCATTCTCAATTCAATCAGTGAGGTTTTTTTTTGTGGGATGTGAATATCACTGGCTAGGCCAGCATTTATTGCCCATCCCTAATTGCCCTGAGGGCAGTTAAAGGTCAACCCCATTGCTGTGGATCTGGAATCACACATAGGCCAGACCAGATAAGAATGGCAGATTTCCTTCCCTAAAGGATAAGAGGGGTTTTTTTTAATGAGAATTGACAGCAGTTATTAGACACCATTGGACTGGCTGTTTATATCAGAGCTTTATGTGGGGTGCCATGGTGGCTCAGTGGTTAGCACACCTGCCTCACAGCACCAGGGACCCAGGTTCAACCCCACCCTTGGGCGACTGTCTGTGGGGAGTTGGCCTGTGTCTGTGTGTGTTTCCTTTGGGTGCTTCAGTTTCCTTCCACAGTACAAAGATGTGTAGGTTGGGTGGATTGGCCATGCTAAATTGCCAATAGTGTGCAGGCTGGGTGGGTCAGCCATGGGAAATGGAGGGATAGGCTAGGGGAGTGAACTGGGTGGGATGGTCTTCAGAGGGTCGGTTTGGATTCAATAGGGTGAATGGCCTTCTTCCAAACTGTAGGGATTCTGTGATTTTAAAATTGAAATTAATTCTCACCATTTGCTAAACTGGGTTGAACTGTCATGTCCTCAGAACATTAACCTGGGATTCTGGATTACTAGGGCAGTACCATTACCGCTACATCATCAACAACTTTCCTAAATGTTATCCAGTCAGTTACTGAACTGAGGCAAGGGTTCTTGTGGCACAGAAATACTGTCCCTACCTCTGAGCCAGGAGGTTAGTTCAAATCCCACCTGATCTGGAAATGTGTCGTGTCATGTCATGTCTGATCAAGTTGGTTGAAAATGTCTATGAGCCACATTCCATAATTTTGAGACCAACATATGAAGACATTCTTGCTGATTCCACTCCTGACTCTAATTTTAAGATTATTCCCCTTATCTTGGACCATCACACCAGATAAAATAGTTCATTAACTATATCTGACCTTTTACAAAAAAAAACAACTCAATGAAACATAGATTGTCTTCACTCCACCAATGGTGTCATACCTTCATCCATCTAGGTACAAATTTTAGGATTACTTCCATTAAGATGTGCTTAAGATAAAAGATAGCATTAAGATGTTTCTTAAAACTTAACTCTCTTTTTTTGTCCAAGCTTTTAGTCACCTGCCCTGATGCTGCCAACACAGCTCTGTGTCAAATTTTCTTTGTTAATCTTCTGGTGATGTGCTTTCGGAGATTTCACAGTGTTAAAGATGCTATATAAATGGAGGTGGTTGTTGTTATTTCTGATTGTGTCACTCCACAGTTTTCTCTACTCCAGGAAAGACAAGAGAAGTCTATGCAATCAGCCTTTTCTGACCTGGGACTGCTCCTAGGACCATGTTTTTAATTCATTCTTAATAATAGGAGAAAATCTATTTCTTACAACTGTCCTAATTTTATGATTTGGCTTGGTGACAATCTTGTCTGCGCAGTGATTTCTATGATCCATAGCAGCTATCATCTTTAAATAGGAGATGGGAGACTGCAAGGTAAAGAGAAGGGGATACGTAAAGTATTGGATAAATGCTCATTTACAGAGGGATGTTGGACTGGGATCTAGAAAACTCCCTGCAATTCATCCAGACCAAGCCAAAAGAACATAGAAGTCTGGAAATGTTATGTTTTAAAATGATTTATGGCTTCCAGACCTCTTCTGAATGTGTTCAGTTTTCGTGTGAAGAGAAATATGAAGAATTTCTAGTCAAAAATAGAATTGGCTATGGATTAAAAAGTTGAGAATTACAAAAAGTGTTCACTGACAATGTTGTTCTATTAGTATTTTGGTCTGAAGGAATTCCTGGAGGCAGTGAGCGGTGAACTGAGACTGACTGTTCTTGATGCATTTGACCAAGTGCAACACCATAATGTAAATAAAGGCAGTGGGAATCAGGAGCAAAAATCCTCACTGGTTGGGGGAAGGCAATGGCCTAGTGGTATTATCAATGGACTATTAATCTAGGGACCTAGGTTCAAATCCTGCCATGGCAGATGGTGGAATTTGGATCCAATAAAAATCTGGAAATAAGAGTCTAATGATGACCTCCATAAATTAATTGTCAATTGTTGGGGGGAAGAAAACCCATCTGGTTCACAAATGCCCCTTTTGGGAAGGAAACAGCTGTCTTTGCCTTGTCTGGCCTACATGTGACGCCAGACCCACAGCACTATGGTTGACGCTTAACAGTCCTCTGGGATGGACAATAAATGCTGGCCTGGCCAGCAATTCCCTCATTCCATGACTGAATTAAAAAAAACAGTGCAGAAAGATCTTTGTCCCACCCAAAAGGCCTTCTCTGCCACAGAAGGTTTGAGGCCAAAGCATTGAATGTTCTTCAAGAAGAAGTTCAATATAGTTTTTAGGGTTAAGAGATTTAGGATACGTGGAGAAAGTAGGAACTGGATAATCAGTCATGATCATTTTAAATGGTGGAGCAGGCTCAAAGGGCCGAATGGCCTGCTTCTATTTTCTATGCTTTTTAATCACATGGATGGCCCAAAGATGACTGTTTCAGTCACAACATGAGAGCATTAGGCTTCTTGGACAGAAGTGATGTGGGGGTTCCCACCAACTCCCTAAATGATAATGGAGGAGCATTAAATTCTGGCCATTATCTTCGAAGTAGAGACATACCATTCAAGAGTGAAGTCAGGAAACATCTTATTACACAGAGGCTGGTAGAAACCTGGAACCCTCTTCCTCCAAAAAGATTGTGAACGTTGGGGTCCATTGGAGTTTTTAAAGATTTTGATTAAATTAATAATTTCAAAATGAGAGTGGAAGAGAACTTGAGGGGAATAATCCTGCAGGACTATGGAGATAAAGCAGAGGAATGAGATTGATTGATTGGAATATTCAATTGAAAGCTTGCATGAACACACTGATTCGAATAGCTTCTTTCCATACCACAGTACAGATTTTTGTGTGGTATGTTTATCAGGGATAGGAAGCAAGACTGAATAAATGGAGCTGAGAGACATTTAAATCCTGGGCTTGACTGAATAGTGGAGCAAGCTAGATGAGCTGAATGGCTCCTAATTTTCCCAGTTTATTCACCCCCACCCGACAGCTTGGATCAGGAAAGCTTTGAGTTTGTGTCCTGAAAATCAGCAGACTGACTCAGTGCAGACTAGGAGTCCAGTTTGGGAATGCTGAATCTGTAACATTTAATAACGTTCTCACCCATCAGGCCATTGTGTGAACTGAAAGTGAAGGATTATAGGCATTCCTCAATCCAGTTTCATTGCCAAGAACTGAATCACCATTTGAGCTTCTGTTAGAAAATGCACTGGTAACTTAATCCATGACAGTTATAAATTGTATGCAGACTGTAAACTATCCTCTTTGTGTGGCTCCCCAGTTATTATCTGGAAAACAGTTGAATGATTAATTTACATTCTCTGGTCAGCCACTGATCCAGTTATCCTGGCATTACAAAGCAAGCTCTGTGGAAAAACCAAGACTGAATACTGCAAGAGAAAGAGAGCGAGAGACAGAGAGAAAAAAAGCCGTAATGAATTGATATAGGAGTGGCTTTCCAGTTAAAAGTTAAAATGTCTTTGGTACTTGCTCGTATCAGTGTTGCTAGAGCAATGACACATGTACGTGCTTTCTGATGTTTCCTTAGGCCAGATTTGCCGCAGCCACAGTCAAGTGTGGAAGAGGAAACTGATGTGAAGATCCTGGAGGTCAGGCCATTGCAGTAGGGAGGGAGATTGCAAAGAGGCCAGTGCTGCCAGTGCACGCTCAACGAGTGAGAGGAAGCTGACGCATTGAGTGAGGAGAGCAGAATAACTTCAGGGATGCTGAGTTTAAAGTTACCTCGTCTGTTCAGCATCAATCAAGTGCCAAAAGTAGGTGAATTTTATAACCTGTTGTCTGCTTTTGTGTATCAACTGCATTATGATTCTAAATTCAGTTTATAGAATCCCTACAGGCCCTTCGACTCAACAAGTCCACACTGACCCTCCGGAGATCATCCTGCCCAGAGCCATCCCCTTACCCCTTCCCTGTAACCCTGCATTTCCTATGGCTAACACACCCAACCTACACATCCCTGAATACAATGGGCAATTTCCCATGGCCAATCCACCTAACCTGCACATTTTTGGATTGTGGGAGGAAACCAGAGCACCCAGTGAAAACCCACACAGACACAGGGAGAATGTGCAAACTCCACACAGACAGTTGCCCAAGGGTGGAATCGAACCCAGGTCCCTAGCACTGTGAGGTAGCAGTGCTAACCACTGAGCCACCATGCTGCCAATTTTATAACAAAGTGCTTTATCGAACTGCTTGCCACGGTAACAATGAGCATTATTTTCCTCTTCACCATCAAAAAGCTCCCGTTTTCTAGGACCTTAATTGACATCGACATAAACAAGGCAGCTTCTGGGCTTTGGAGATCGTGGAGAATTAAATTCTTGTATTAAAGCTTGAAGCTCCCCAACTCTCTGAGCTTCAAGTCCTGTCTCGTGGGACCCACCTGAATTAGCGGCAGCACTCATGGGCATATGTCACTTGGCCTTGTCTTTTTCTCTTCGGGTTGTGATCTGAACTTGTTGACCTCTGGAAAAACAAAACAGAAAATCGTTTTCAAACTGCAGCGCAAAATGTGGATTGAAGTGCTGGTGTTTATTCCCATTACGCTGCTGGAAGAACTGAAGTTTGCATTATCCCTTTGAGACCTTAAAAGTAGGGCAAGGAAAAAACTACACCTGAGCAAAGGTCACCTTACAGAAAACAATCGCATCTCACGCCAAGTTATCAAACATCGCGTTAGGGAGGCGATGGCCCATTGTTATTATCACTGGACTGCTAATCCATAGACACAGATAATGTTGTAGGAAGAGATAGTAGGAACTGCAGATGCGGGAGAATCTGAGATAATAAGGTGTAGAGCTGGATGAACACAGCAGGCCAAGCAGCATCAGAGGAGCAGGAAGGCTGCCGTTTTGGGCCTAGACCCTTCTTCAGA